CTTAAATTATGTACCTACATAACTATTTGAATACCCTGAAAATAGAAAAAGAACTATTTTGTTTCATGGACAGAAAATTTCAAACTTGTTGCACCCTGTCCACAATTTACAATGCTAAATTCCCCCTCTTTATACAGCCATGAGGATTGTGAAAATATGGCAGCATATTTAAACAAAATTTAAATGAGATTACAACATAAAAACTGTTACAACTATAAATAAAGATCTTTATTATATAAAGAATTTATATTAATTATGAAAATTCTCATAATCTTATATGATAAAATTTTAGGCCTTCTTTTTGTGCCTAAAACTTTGTCGTATCTAAACTACATTTATGGGTGAATTTTTATGTATTTAATATAGTGATGATATTTTAATGTCTTAGAACTAATAGGACAGTAATTATTCCTGGGTACATGGCCATCACTATATTATATACATAAAATGCCACCCATAAATTAAGATAAGATGTGAGCACAGCTCTCTATTCTGTTGTGACCAATCGTCATTCTAATATTTGTAAATTGAACTGTTTTGGCAAATGTCAAAGCATAAAGCTAGTGCCTCAAAAATCAGGACCAAGGCCTTGGTGGTCATTTTGTCATTAAACACTATTTCTTGTGTTTTGCCAAGTTATTGATTTGTCTCATTTAGAATTGGGTCCCGGCTAGGCAGTGATGGACCTGCCTCTCGGGAGGCAGGGGCAGACAGATCTCTGGGAGTTCAACACCAGCCTGATATACAAAGCTAAACAGAAAAACAGTGTCTTGAAAAACCAAAAAAGAAAAATTGAAATAGAATTGGGTTCCATGGACTCAAACTGATGAGTTCCCATACAAGTCTTAAGTGTTCTAACTAGGCTAAGTCATGAACTCAGGAAAAGATGAGGAGGCTCTATCTTCTCTTTATCATTTGTTATTCTGAAAATTTTGCTGATATGTACAGCCTTTGGTTTCAACTATTAGTCTTTTTTGCATGAAACTTTGGTGGCAATGTGTCTATAACAAAAGTTCTGTTGTTACTTGCATAGACCCATTTATTTAAAGCTGAGTCCCTGTCTATGCATACTTATGCATTTGGACTGTGGTAAAGAAGGTACCACAAGTGTTCAAAACTTGCCAAACAGTTATAAGTCTAGGTAAGATGAGAAACCCTCTTTCAATAAAATCATTACCTGTTTCCCTATGACTGTAGCAACCATGTCTTTTTTTTCTCCAGAGTAATTGTTTCAGATGTTTTTTGTTAATTTTACTGGCTTCTTTACATGATCCTTGTGCAAAAGACATTGTGATTCATTCCTAGCCAATGGTACATGAGAGATGACCATACTAGGGTACTATCCAATTTTATTTTGTAAGAGATGATTTTAAAAGGTGGATTTTCTCCTGTTGGATTTTGTACTGTGGCTCCATAAAATCTCAAGTTACTGTAGCTTCGTTCACCCAGCCTGAACATGATGTCAACACATGGGAGAAGTGTTAGTACAGATGGAAGACGATAAGGATGCTCAAGTGACAAGTTCCAGAGCTTGTTCTCTCGCCAGACTTCTTATGTAGGTAAATATTTCTGTCATACTTCAGCCAATATGATGTAAATTTATAACCTAGAGATATCCTAACAACAGCAAGTGAAGGTAACAAATTTCTCCATGACACACCCATCTCCCATTGCACTTTGCAGACATCCAAACAAACCTAGACTTTCCAAAAATTTGTGAATCAATAATGAGATTATAAACCTTTGTGAATTTAAATGAAGACTCAAATATTGAGCAACAGGGCCTGGAGAGATGGTTCAGGAGTTAAGAGCAATTGCTTCTTTTCCAGAGGACTTAAGTTTGATTCCTAGCACCCACATGATGGCTCATACCACCTGTAATTCCAGTTCTAAGTGACTAATAGTCTCTTCTGACCTCCTCAAGCACCAGACATGCATGTGGTAAATAGACACATATGCAGAAAAACACACATACACACACAATAAAAATAATTTTTAAAATATATTGAGCAATAATAAAAATTTATATGGAAAAGTTAATGGTATATTAAAAATTACTCAATTCTCTCCTAAAGTAATAAACATTGATCAACTTTTAAAACATTGGTAAAAAGCTATTGGTCATCACTTTTTCAAATGTAAAAAAAAATAAAATTTATTTTCTATGGTACATAGAAATAAATTGTAAAATTTCTAAAGAAAGCACCATAAACCTAGACTTTCTATATAATGTCAACTACTATTTATGAGGTTAGACTGTATGTGAGAATGGAGAAAATTATTGAGAACATTGTCCTGAAATGTTAAGTACATCTTTGATATTTTGGGACCAATAGAATCAATTGCTAAAATTTCTTTGAAAAAAAATAAATGGTAACTATTTACATCATCTACATGGAAGTACACATGGTACCAGGCAGGCAGTTATTCCAACTGTGGGACATAAATCACAGGAAAAGTACCTATTTTGAATGTCTCTTTGTTACTAATAGTTGTGTCTTTACTTGGTTTCTGTAGAGAGCTAACTTGTTACCAGAGCCTACATGTCAGTTAGTCTGTGTTACATTTTTTTCTGATGTTTGCATCGGAAAAACTTGAAGCCTCTCAGTCCAATATTGTGTTAGTATCTTTACACACTAAATTTTCAGGGATTTATAAATTGAATTCATCAATATGATAAGAATCACAATTCTTTCCCTGAAGGCTAAGGATGTTGAGCAATTCCTTAAGTGTCTTTCAGCCATTTGTGACACTTCTGTTGAGAATTTTCTGTTTAGATCTCTACCCCATTTTTAATTGGATTATTTGGTATTTTAGTGTTTAGTTTCTTGAGTTCTTTATATATCCATCAGGGAAATGCAAATCAAAACAACTCTGAGATACCATCTTACACCAGTCAGAATGATTAAGATAAAAAAAACGCCAAAGATAGCTCATGCTGGGGAGGATGCAGAGTAAGGGGAACAATCATTCATTGCAGGTAGGAGTGCAAACTTGTATAACCACTGTGAAAATCAGCATGGTTGTTTCTCAGAAAATTGGGAATCTATCTACTTCAACATCCAGCAATACCTCACTTGGGTATATACCCATCAGATGCACTCTCATACCACAAGGCATTAGCTCAACTCTGTTTATCTGTAATAGCCACAACCTAGAAACAACCTACATGCCCCTCAACTGAAAAATGGGTAAAGAAAATGTGGTACATTTACACAATGTAGTACTCAGCAGTAAAAAGCAATCACATCATGCAATTTGCAATCAAAGGGATGGAACTAAAAAAAAAGCCTGAGTGAAGTAACTCCAATCCAGAAATACAAACACAGTATGTACTCACTTAAAGCAAAGGATACTCAGCCTATAGGCGATGACCCCAGAGAAGCTAGGTAACAAGGAGAACCCTAAGATATACATACAAAGACCTCCTTGGGAAAGAGAAATAGACAAAATCTCCTGAGAAAATTGGAAAAGCATAATGGGGGGAGAATGGAAGGCAGAAGTGGAGGAAGATGGGGAGGGCATAGGAAAAGGTGAGGGAGTTGGATGGTGGAGTTGGGGGAAGGACAGAGAGAGAGAACAAGGAAAGAGATATCTTGATTGAGGGAGTCATTATGGGGCTAGTGAGATACCTAGAACTATGGAGATTCCTGGGACTCCACAAAGATGACCCCAGCTAAGACCCTAAGAATTAGTGGAGAGGGTCCCTGAACTGACCTTTCCCTGTAATCACATTGGTAACTCCCTGAATTTGCATCATAGAACCTTCATCCAGCAATTGATGGAGGCAGATGAGGAGATCCAAAGTTAAGCACTGGACCAATCTCCCAGAGTCCATTGAAGAGAGGGAGGATCAGTATTATGAGTAAAGGGGTCAAGACCATTTTGGAGATACATACAAAGATAGCTGATCTGATGTATGGGAGCTCAATGACTTTTGACTGACAACGAGGGAACCTGCATGGAACCAAACAGGGCCCTCTGAAAGTTTGTAACACTTGTGTGGCTTTGAGGCTAACAGCAGTGGGACCAGAATTTATCCCTGGTACTTGATCAGTATTTTTGGAGCCCATTCTCTCTTTGAAGGGATAACTTGTGCAGTTTTTTTTTTTTTTTTGGAGGGAAGGACCTTGTTCTTTTTCAAAGAGATATGCCAGACTTCCTTGACTACTCGTGGGAAGCCTTTACCTATCTAAGGAGTGGTTGTGATGGGGTGGAGGGAAGTTTGCAGAGGTGGGGGAGGGCAGAGAGTAGAACTCAGATTGGTAAGTAAAATGAGAAATGATTGTTTTAAATAAAAAATCATGTCAAAATTCAATTTTTATAAGTTTCTCTTAATGTATGAAAATTAATATTGGTTCTGTTTATTTATTTTACAAATTAATGATAGGAATAACACTCTGATGTGTCATTGGATTAAATCTGTAAAAAGCAGATTTTCTGTAAGATGTAATTATTTTAAGAAAAAAGACAAAATAATTGAAAAAATACAACCTTGGCATCATTTCTAGTTAGAGCTGTGATCAACTCCCTCCTCCTGAAGTGCCCCATTCTGACTTTAAATGGTCCTACTAAGCTGATTCTCATGTTACCTCTTCAGCCTAACCTATCACAGGAATGCCTCACTCTCTAGTTCCAAGAATCTAAAACTAAGCAGCTATTGAGAGCCTGGGAACTGTAGTCAACATTCCCATGTGTATCTCACCTTGGAGACTGTGTATGGTGTTCTCTTCTAGACTCATAGATAAAGCACTACTGACACATAAACAGCTACTAACAGATATTCTCTGGTCTAGAAACACCACCTACCCCAAGTCTGAGACATTTATAAAAGGGAAATCATCATCTACAAACACCACCCACAGACTTCAACCAAAACTAGTTTTGTGTCATAATGACTCATTAAAAAATAAAGCATATTTTGAGGAGAAAAAAGTAATATTTATTTCAAAGCATCATGAAACTTAAATCTCTTTTCTTCAAAGTCATTATCTGGAGCTTCAGCTGAATATCAGAGATGCTAAGCAACCTGGGTTGACTGGAAATGGGACATCCATCAAACAGCATCTGAGTCACATGACCAACACCACACAGTGACTTCAGGCAGTCATGACTAAGTCCTCATGTTAATATTCCTCAGAAAATGGATATTCAGGGTGGTCAGCCAAACTAAAATAAAAATAAAACAAACATGCACTGTATGATTCACACCTGCAATGTAAAGATATGACATCTAGGAAGTCACCATGGAGGTGAGAGTTAACAGTTGCAGAAGGTGATATTCTTATAGACATTTACAAACATTTATATGAAATGTTTTAAAATATTATTTATACATTATTTTCCAACTATGTCACTTATACCAGAACAGAATACACAAAGACCAGTATTTATAAATATTCATCTCCCTTAGCTTCATCTATGCATCAATCAAAGAAAGAAGAGTAAAAAATCCTTCCCAACTTCAGTTTCCAATGAAAGGAAAAAAGCATGTCATCTTAGTTCAAGGTAACTCTACACATTGATTAAGACATTAAGAAATATCTCAATATTTCTTATATATCATTTATGCTCCCTACTTCCATTTAAGTATTAGTAATTTGCTAATTTTCACTCAATTCCCTTATGTACAACATAATTTACTAGATTCAGTTAGGGACAGAATGACATTAAGAAGATGGGGTTCCATGTCCAAGGAGCTAACTATATAATTTGTAGACTTCTATCTATAAATAACTATCCCAAATATGCAGTGATAAAAACCATTGTAAAACATAGAGACTGATATTTGGGTTTAAGCTTCAAGCTGAATATCATTAAATCAAAGCAGCACACCACTAGCTCTCACCTCTACCTCAAACTGAAAGCTGATCCTGACTCCACCAAAACTCAGACTGTAATCTCAGACTCCTCTTCCCTCCTCACTGTGGCTAGAGAATTCTGAGACTTCAATGTCTTCCTATCCTCAATGTAGCTGGAGAAAGAATGCCAGCTCTGAGACCCTGTTGCTGTCTTAAATACCTCTTATGTGTCCTGGGATTAAAGGTGTGAGGACTGATTATCTTTTAGACTGATTCACTCTAATGTATCCCTGGGTGACTTTGAACTATCAGAGATTCATCTGCCCTTATCTCCTGAGTCCTGGGATTGATTAACTGTGTGTGCCACCACCTCTTTCCCTCTAGAGCTTATGTCTGACTTTGCTTTTTGAATCCCCAGGAAAGCTTTAATAAATCATAAATAATTTATCACTATAAATCATTAATTGTTGAAGTGTGACAAAAATTATTCATTATTTACAAAAAGGATTTACTCACTGAAGTATCCCAATTTTACCTTCATTCTGCAATACACTAATAAAAGTCTTACTAAAAATAATGTATATACCAAATTTACATAGCATTATAGATTTTCTAATCATCCTTCAAACACTATCATATTTATTTCTTTTGAGAAGTAAAATTCTAACAAGTAGAATATATAGATTGATAGATGATGATAGATGACAGGTAGATGAATATGCTCATATATATATGTATATATATACAGTCTTTGCTTGTAATTCATAACCTATTTGCAATATCAACTTTTGTAACCATAGAACATGAAGGGAAACTAAAAATTGTTGTGTGGCTATTAATTGTCCTAAGCAAGAGTGCTTATTCCTGAAGGATCTTTTCTTAGTTTTGAGCCCAGTTTTTAAAACCTCTATGTTTTGCAATGACACATCCATATTTTCAAAAACTCAGAAACAAATGTTAGATTAACTATATCCATGGGAAACTTGCTACAGACAAGTAGGGCATTTGATTTCTGAACTTTCATGGATGGAAGATGGGAGGAAGAGACATGGACCTGGAACAAATTGAAGTGAGGTGTTTTTCAGCATTACTTACAAATTAGCTGGAAGATATCGGAAATTTTTATTCATGCCATCTAGGGTTTTCATATCCTCGGGAGACAACTGGAATTCAAAAACCTTTCAGGAAAACACAAAGGTTTTAGCATTTGAATGAAGCAGATTTTATGTCTCAAAGACAATTGAGTAGTATGTGTGCTCCCAGAAATCATGAACGTTGTTTACTAAAATATTCATGGTTAATAAATATCAAATAAAAATGGGAGAAATCTGCTCTTGAGATACACTAAAATTGCACAATGTCACAGACAACAGGAAATCACAAATGCAGCTTGAGAAAAACAAAAACAGTTAACATCACCCAAAGACTATGGCATCACAGATATAATTTCCAAGAAATCTAGAACAAAATTTGAAATATATCACACAAACAGTGAGTTGCATGGGGTGTGAGATTTTGCTATCCATCAGTAAATAAATAAATGCAAACAATTGCTCTTTTCAATTTTATGTAAATCAAGATTTGTCCAAATTCTACTTCTATCATGTTCATATAGGAGAGAAGTGCTTGCTTTATAGAGGATCTTCTGATTTAAACATCAACATGATTTTCATGATTTTTCCCATCTTAAAGCACATGCAGGGGTAAGTCCTTTTGTGCCATAAAATATGGAGACAAAGAAATATTAAGGGAAGAAGGATGAGGAAATTTGTCAACAGCTTAACAAGTGATAAATCTAGTAAGACAATTAATTAGGATAGTGGGAAACAGTAAACAAAAAAAATGAACAGAGGAAATAACTCATAAAGGTAACCACCATTAATCAGTCATTTAAAATTACACATATCTTTCTGATTCATATTTTACAACTTATAAGAACTGTATTTTAGAGAACAGTTTAGGAGGAAATAATACAAAGCCCTGGTAAAATAGTGAAGGAGACTCGAAAGCCTGAATAGTAAAAAGACATGATGCTCAGTCACAGTAAAAATATGAAGACTGAAGTAAGAGCCATTTATTTATAAAGTAATGAAAAGTGGAAAATTAAGCAAAATTGGGAGAAGGCAATTCATCAAACTTCTGAATTTGCATAACGATTACTATTGACATTATGTAGGAAACTGATAATCTGCACTTCTTTTTATTTGAGAAAATAGAACATCTCTTTTTTGACTACCTAGATTTTTAAATTATTGCTCTGTTATACTTATCACCTTAAACCACCAGTGTTCATTTGTGTTTGTGTGTATGTGTGTGTGAATCATTTTCAAATGATCATTCATATATATGTATGTCATATATATGACATATATATATATATGTCAATTTCAAATGACCATAAATATCATATCACATTGCACATGTCCAAAGGTATTTATCACAAAACTGAGTTTGTGCTCCTTCTCCAGCAGCATTTTTAGGAACACCAGCAGTACATGGTTACAACATCGAGGCAGTTGTAGTTGTCTGCCAGGCTTAAGTATCAGAAGAAACTTTGGTTCAATTGCTGCTAAGATTTACTATCATGTTTTAGAATTAAATGTAAACATTATTTTACATCCAAACTGCAGTTCCCCTACCCTCTCTCCTGCCATCTTCCCCTCTCCCCTATGTGTATTTCTAAATTCACTCATCATCTGTTTCTGTTTAGAAATGGGCAGGCCTCCTATTGGTGACTACAAAACATGGCATACCAAGTTGAGATAAAAATAAGCTCCTTCCATTGTCTTAAGACTGGGCAAAGCAACATATTCACTTATAAGTAAAGAAAAGAAAGGATAGTCATGCTACAATCCACAGACATACAAGACTAGGTAACAAATAGAATCCAAGGAGGGAGCTATGGATCTCCAGGAAAAGGAGAAATAGAAGAGATTGGGTAGACTGGGGTAGGAGAAAATGGGAACATATGGGATCTGGTTAGGGGTGGATGAAGGGGGAGACTATTAAAAGACATGATGGGAAGGGGGGAAATTTCAGATAAGGCAGAAAACTGGTACAAGAGAAGCTCCTAGGAATCTACAAGGATGACCCCAGCAAAGCCTCCTAGCAATGGCAGATTCTTAGCCTGAACTGGCCATCTACTGCACTACGGCAGATGTCTAGTAGAAGGATTGGGAAGCCAGCCCAGACATACAACCTTTGACCTACAATCAGTCCTGCCTATGGGAAGTTCATGGAGTGGGCTGTAAGACTGTCATGGGCATTGTGGCAGTGACCTACCAAAGACTGGCCTGCCTCAGACCCATACCACAAGATTGAGCCACCCCTGACACTACCTGGAGAGCCAGGACACAGAGGTTGGAGGGCCCAGAGAACTAGGGTAGAACCAAACATGATTGAGGAGAAAAAAGGCAAGGAAATGATGCCTAATGAAATTCTGCTATACTCATGGTTTGGTGTCTACCCCAATTGTCATCAAAGAGCCTTTATTCAGTAGCTGGTGGAAAAAGATGCAGGGACCCACAGCTAAGCACTGGGCCGAGTCATGGTATCCTGCATAATGAAAGGCAGACGGATTGTATGAACCAGGGGGCCTGGTCAAGGGCATCATAAGGGAACCCACAAAAACAGCTATCCTGGGGCTCATAGAAGCTCACAGAGTCTGGACTGACAACCAGTGAGCCTGCTTGGGAACAAACAAGTCCCTCTATATATGTGTCACAGTTATGTAGTTTGTTCTATTTTTGGGACTCCCACTAGTGGGAGCAAGAGCTGTCACTAAGGCTTCCCCTGGTTTTGGGGAACCAATCCACACTTCTAGATCTGAGCACTGTTGAAATGTTTTTATACGTCCACCCACTGAGACAATGGCTACTTCCTACCCTTTGAATATTGACTGCTGTGTAACTTGCACTAGATACATGAATGTCACAGAAGCAATGATATGTCAAGCCTGTGCAAGTCATTAAAGCTTCTCACTGTCTTGGTGTAGGACTAAGTGCAGAGGTAAAACCTGGGAAATTGTCAGTTGTATGAAACCTATATGGAATGGAGAAATAGTTCAATCACTCTACTGTGCTTGACAGGCCTCTTTGTCCTGAATATATGCACAATGGTTCCTCAAAGATATGTGAAGCAACCCAGCATAGATGATTTTCACTGTGTTCAGGCTAAAATAAAGCAAATTTTTAAATTAAAGAACACTAAGGTAAATAATAATATTTATATTAAACTTCTACTTAAGAGCGGATTCTTTGGTAACTAAACATTTTCTACTAAAATAAAGTATAATTACTTGAAATTTAATATATCAGTATTAGAATAGCTGACCATTCAATGAATAAAAAGTAAACCATAGAAATTTCTAGAACAAAAGTTACTCATTCCAAATTCCTTATTTCAGAAAATACAACAGAGAGCCATGGAAAAGAGGTATGTAGTATTTGACTGACAACACAAAGCAAATTCTGCATAGGCTCCAACAATAAATCTATTAAGTCATGCTGCTGTTTGTTTCACATACAAAACATTTCTCAATGCACCTGAATGTGGGCATGCATAGAAAATGCTAGAAATACAGGCTTGATTTCAATTCAGAGGTTTGAAGGAAGCATGTATACGAAAGATACTATCTTCACAGCTCATCACCTGCAAATTCTCTTTCATCTCATTTTCTTTGAAACTCTGGGCCAGGGGAATGACCCCACGCTGAACCAGGTATCGAAGTGCAATCAGGGCGGGGCTTCGCTTATTCTTTTTGGCCACATCACAAAGAACTGGGTCATTCAAGAGAACTGGAGAGTTCTGGTCCACCCTAGCAAAGTAGAAATGAGATCCTTAGGGAAAGGTTTGGTTTTGCTATGGTGCTTAAAAACACATTGCAGGGCACATTCTAGACTGGGCATGATGGTTATGGGTAGTTGTCAAATGGACAAAGTCTAGAATCACCTGGACAATGAGCCAAGTGATGAACCATTCCCCCGACAGAGGATCCTGGACTGTATAAATGGAGAAAATGGTCAAAGAATAAGTGTTCATTTGTCATTCTCTGCTTCTTGACTGAATGTGAAGGGATGACCTGCTTCAAGTCCCTGACACCCTGACTTGACTGCCATTATGGTCTATACCCTAGAACTATGAACTATGACCAGTTCTTTCTCCCTGGGGTTACTCTTGTCTGAGTATTTTTGGAGGAACATGAAAAAAAGAACAAATACACCAGGACTACAGAACCAAAGACTTTGGCCTTCACAGGTTCTTCTAAAGAAAGATCCCCCTCTCCCTGAGAACTGAGGGTTAGGATACTAATTGACAGTCTTACTTCAGGTATACTCTTCATCTTATTACCATTCTTTATATCTTTGGGTTCCCAGAGCACCATAAGCAACCAGAACAATGTCTTTTGATTTGCAGTACTCCAGCAGCTTACTCTGGTTTAAATAAAGATGGCATTCAACCTGTGAAAGAATATAATAGAAAGATATCAAGTTATATCTAATGCTCATATTATAACAAATGAAAATGCTTAAAAACCCATAGACTAAGACAATTATATGCACTATCACAATTGAACTTAAATGATCAAACTGTTGCAATTTTTCCTGAAGAATAAAAGAACTGCTTTTTGGGGATTCTGCTAATAACATTTTGACTGGGTAAGTTTGGGGGCCAAAATAATAACTAGAGGTCCTCAAGGCAGTTCAGTGTTTAAAGATGCCAGCTGCTGAGATAACTAAACTTGTGAGGAAGGACCATAATAAGATGGTGAGAAACATCTAACATCCACATAAGTCCTGAACACCAACTGATTTTTTTTTATTTGAACTCAAAATCTTTCAACAAAATATACCATGCCTACCCATTAGTCTCAGTTCAGGGAGAAGATCACTTTGCCCTGCCCTCAAATTCTGCCTGCTGGACTAACTTTAAAATTATACATTCACCAGCAGTGGGGTACTAAAGTATACCTCCATTATCACCAATACTTTAATAGTCCATGGTTAAATGAAAATTCTCCCATGTCTTTTGAAATAGTGATGTTGCTCTCAGAATCTTCTTTTCCACAAAATGAAAATCACTTGGGCACAGGACAAATAAACAAGTGTCAGTAGTACAGAGTGAGGAAAAGCATGAGAGATGGGAAGGGAGGGAGAAATCTTACCTGATTGCAGACAGGTTTGTACTTAAGTCCTGGTTTGTTCAGAATTCTCTCTAACTGCCTGTGGTTAAAGTTGGACACCCCAATAGACTTGACCAATCCTGCATCCTTACACTTCTCCAATGCCTGGTGAAGAGAAAGGGGTTATGAGGGGTCATACTAGCAATTGACTACATCAATATAAAGGGAAGATGAAGCAGTTACAAGGAAAACTGTCTAGAGCTAGACATATGGATCAGTGCCCTAAGGTCAATCACAGACACTGTAAAAGGTGGGGAGGGGTATATTGCCCAGATGATCATTGGACTTAAATATGAAGACATCATGATAATGGTGATAATGAAGAATAAGATGCTAGCCAAAGAGGAATTTCCATGACATCAATAGAAATTTGAGGATGCTACTTCATAAGATGTCAAAATAACACTTAATCCTATTATCCTGAGTACTTCTTCATTTTCTTTCCCTTACATTTTAGCAATGCATATTTTCCCTTCTACTCCAGCAAATATGTATGCATGTAAATAAATTTCTCTATCCAAGGGAAATGAGATGATTCTCCCTCTCTCTGCGTGCTTTATTGTCCTTTTGAAAAGCACTCACCTCCCACGTGGCACAGAAATCCACTGTGTCCAACAGCAATTTCCCTTGTTCATCCTCTGGAAAATCATTATCTCCTGACTGAAACAGAAGTGTTTGTTAATTAAATCTCACAAAACATGTGCCTCATTTATAGTAATGCTTTTAAGAATATACTGGAGGAGCTGGAGAGAGAGCTTAGTGATTAAACCCTGGTTTCTCTTTCAGAAGACCTGGGTTCATGTCCCAGCACCTCCATGGTGGTCACAACTATTTGGAACTAAGTCCCATGGGGCTCACTCCCCTCTTCTGAGCTCCATACACACTAATGCACAAGCATACACACAAAGAAAACATCCATACACACTAAAAATATCTTAAATTTTAAAGAATATCTTGGAAATAAGACAGTAAGTAGCCATAAAGAGATTGAATCATCATCCTATATACTGTGATTACCAAGTGCTACTTACGAAGAGTAGTAAAAATTATTTGTAGATAAAAGAACTTAGTGTTCTTTTTTTCTTACATTAACTATGTGCATATTGCAAGCATGCAAGTAAAATTATATGTGCTGAGTAGGTTGTATTTATAATATATATATATATATATATGTGTATAAATATACATATATGTATATATGTATGCTCATATATATGTATATATGTATGTATGTATATGAAAAGAAGCCATGATTTTGAAAGAGCAATGTGTTTTTATGGGAATGGATGGATGAAGGAGTGTGCAATAATAGGACATAATCATATTTCACTTTTAAAAACATGTATTGAGATTTTCTTTTGTCGTGATATACTGTAAACTTAATAAAATTCCCCCATGCACTTAAAAAGTGATACATTCTCTCCCCAAATGCTGCATATATGGATATTTTCTATTATTTGCATACATGTTGATTTTTTACCTAGCATCTCATATGGCTAAATCCTCGTGATACTTCTGCTTCTCTTTTCTCTAGTAGATTTCACATTATAAATTTGAAGAAGTATTATTTCAACATACCTTCTAGGAGCAGGGACATTTTTAAATATATTTTCAGTACAATGATCAAAACAAGGAAAAATAACAGTCAAAAAAGGTTATCTGATCTGAAGTCAGGCTTAAATTGTGCTAATTGTTGCAATACTGTCTTTTGTTGTAATTATGAAGATTACTTCATTGTGATGTCCTATTGACTTAAAAATGTACTTAGCTTATTCAGTATCAAGGGTGGGATCCCATTGCATTTAGTTACCTGGTTTTAATTTTCTCTAGCACAAAACAGTTCCTTTGTCTATTGTCTTTGGTGATCTTGACATTTTTGAAGAATACAGATGTGTGTGTGTGTGTGTGTGTGTGTGTGTGTGTGTGTGTGTGTGTGTGTCTGTCTGTCTGTCTGTCTCTCTCTTTCTCTCTCTCTCTCTCTCTCTGTGTGTATGTGTGTGGGGGGTAGGGGTGTGTTCATAGTAGTTATAAAGGTTTAGCAGTGTACCAAATGCTATTTTATCTTCAGGGAATCCTATCCAAGTAGTCCTTGATATGAATTGCTCTAATACTGGGGATGTCAGATTTATTCACTTGATTAAGTTGTTAACTTGCAGATGTTTTAATAACAACTTTACTGTACTTTTCTTTGTATTGCATTAATATGAGAAGTTATTTAGAAACTTGTATACTTCAGATATTTTCATTATATTTTGTATATTTGTCACATGGAATTCAATTGGAAAGAACCAAGTTTTTCTTCACTTATTTAATTCTACTGTGTATTATAATCCATTGTTATTTATTTGCTGTTTGGCCACCTAGAGATTTGGGGAAGCACAAGTGGCCCTCATGCCTTTTTATATAGCCGTATTCTTCTAGGAATGCTTTGTATTCTGACATACCAAGGTGTGAAAATGTTTATTTATGATAAATAAAAGTTCATGACAATGAAAAATATTTTCTTTCTATAACAATTTTATTTTCAAAATTATACTGTAATTACATCATTTCCTTTCTCCCCCTTTCCTTCCTCAAACCCACATGTATGCCCTTGCTGTCT